GCATTCTTTTACTGAACTTCTAGCAGTTCTGTTCAAAGGTGCCATTGTATTTCACTGTGAGTGGGCTGCTTAGTTTTCCTTAGCTTCTGTCCGCCAACTTGTAAGCAGACATGGGCTAGTTAATGTGTTCAAGTACAGGTCACCTTACAAAGCCAAGTACAGGTCACCTTTACACTGTTGCGCTATCTCCTGCCCAGTATAGCATTGAAAGAGCAGATTGGTAGAAAGCATCAGTGGGACAGGAGGGCTGCTATAAACTAGACTCACAATAACAAACACATAACTCATAATGCAATTTTTATTCGTGGCTGAGAAACTAAGGCAATACAGTCATCATTGGCTTTGACCACAACTATAAGCAGATTGAAGCACGAGATCGACTCCCGGACAGGATCCATGTAGCAGTGATAGATTCTTTTAGTAGTACAGCAGTTTGTAGGAGCAAAGGGAATAGTATTTCACAGTGCAAAGCACATCATTCCAATGAAGTGAATTTCCTGGAGGGAAAAGAAAAAAGTTCAGTAAATTGGACAACTATGTGTGTGATTGGTTCGTTCCCTGTTTTTGAGATTATCAATGATCTTATCACTTTCATCATTGCTTTATGTAGGATATAGGTCATAAACCTTAAAACAGCCAAAATGAAGATAAAAAATCATATTAAACTTGCTCTGTTGAAAGATCAATTGGTTGGATGATGCCTTCATTGTTCTTCTTGGTGTTCTCTGAAGGGATGTGTGTTGACATGAAGTATTGTAAGTGTTGACACGATCTGGTTGATGTTCTGATTTGAAACAAACTATACATGTGAGGACCTGGAGGAGCACACCAGGCCAGGCAGTATCAGAGGAGGAGGGAAGTTGACATTTCGGGTCGGGACCCTTCAGAAGGTTTTTCTGAAGAAGGGTCCTGACCTAAAACTTCAACTTTCCTGCTCCTCTGATGCTGCCTGGCCTGCTGTGCTCCTCCAGCTCCATACTGTGTCATCTTTGACTCCAGCATCAGCAGATCTTACTATCTCTGCGATGTGTGAGGACCGTTTGTCAATAAGCCACAGGGTTGTGTTGTATAAATGTCATTCGGTTCATTAAACACACAAACACTGCAAGGAAATAGCTTCCATGAACAGCCTGAACAGACTGGCCTGAGATCAAGGTTAATTAAAGCTGAGAGATAAACCTCTTTGCAGAGAAAACAAGCATTTATGTTAGTGAGTGGAAGGTGAATGACTGTGTTGGATGACACAGTTGTGATGTTTGCCGATGGTCAAACTCATCAATCACTGAAGACAGGACATTGCCAAGGTTTGATCACACTGGCTGCTTACAAGAACACCGTGTGTAAGGGGATGTGCCCCAAGGCGATAGCGAGCTAGCTCAGGAACAGGGGGTTGTCTGATCACCATCTGGAGCAGGCTGAGGTGGAGCAGCTGATCACATGTTACAGTCTGATCCTTGGACAGTCCATGTTATTTGGGTCACATGTGATTGTAAGTACAAGGTCAAGCTGTGAAATAATCCAATTTTTGCTGCAATTTGTAGTGTACCTTGCTTCAATAAAGGACAATTTGGTATATCCCATTGTTGGGACTGCCTTGGAATATTGATATCCAGAGTAAACCAGACAGACCAGGAAAAGTAGGAATATAAGTCAACAAGGTAAATAACGTGGAAGACTTCCTGCTGTAATCCTGTTTGCAGTCAATGTAAAGTTTCTCACATCCAAAACGTTTATAATATTCAGTGAGAGTTTGGACAGTTATGGAGTGAAGGTGCTGAGTTCACTCTGGACCATATTCTCCTGTGTACATGGACAGCAAAGGCTCACACAGGGTTAAGCAGTCTCTGTCCCAATGGTGCAGACTTTAGAGAATTGAAATAATCAGTGAGATTTCAGTTTGGAATACTCTATCTGGATTATGTAGCTTTAAATCAGGTTTATATCCTCCTCAGAATGTTGCGTTCTGCTCACTGGGAGCACAGCTGCAACCTGCTATGTGCCACGATCAGCTCAGTAAATGTGCACCAGTTCAATAATCATGTCATTATGGATTCCACAGATACAGACAATTGAGCAGAAGGAGAAAACTTTAATGAAAACAGAGGATGCTCTGTTTTCGACATCTCAGGACCCATTACTTTGAATAGTTTTACCTGCAACTTGACTGCCAAAGGAGTTGGAAGCAAAGCCCTGTCCATATCTATTCCAATCAATTATTTACCAGGAAATATTTTTCTGAAGGGCACCCTTCCTATCACACAGAATTACATTGACTTACTTAAGAAAGCGTGCACACAGTACTCCCGATGATGATTATCATTTGGTTCACCTTTCGCCCAAAACATAAAATCTGATGCAGATCCATCACTCCATAGGAAAGTCCCCTTCTGTTGAAGTAAAATCATTTCATTTAAAAATATGCAATTTTCTCACCCTAAATAATGAGATGCAATAATTCAGGCAAAATTACCTTATGGACGTCACTCAAACCGATCCAAGTCTTGGGATAACTGTTTTGGGATTTATGTATCATTTCTGCAATAACGATATTCTGCTCCAGCTCGTGCAGGGAAGCAAGATGGCCACCTGGAGCCAGGTCTCGGCAATGCATCTTGAGATTAAATTACAAAGGCAATTTGTCACTTGTTACATTTTTACATGAACTATTGGACAAGATAATTGACTAGGTTCCAAGTAGAAACTAATATTTTGATGAACATGGACAATAAAACTACAACCTCCTGTTGCACATCTGCAAGGATCTGATTTGGGGTAACTCCAAACTTCAGTAAATGGTGCCACATTGAGGCTGATTATTTCAGACCAGTCTCATTGTGGCTTCAAACCATCAATTGAAATGACAGTAGCTTCTGTGCAACAGCTGATACTGGTCTGGGCTTATGGCCAAACACTGTGTGGGATATATTGTGTTTCCTCTTCGCCCCAAGTTTTATCTGTACTCAGCTGTCAATACAAATGTGGATAGTCACTACAGTCCATGTCACTGTGCAGTGGCCACATGGACAGCAACAAATTTCTCATAATGACAGACCACAGCACATAGATGCCTGTCGACTTTAGAACACATTCTCAGGGGATCATGTGACTCAACAATCGGTTCTTCGGTATTTAACAGGTTGTTGCTGTTGGGATTGAAAAGTCACACAATGAGTGGGTCTGGTCCAAGCTCGAATGTACAGACTATGTGTGACGGAGATGGGTGGAATCTTGTCAGGGCCTGAACAACATGGGATATGGTGAGAAATGTGGCAGAATGATGTGAGAGGTCCAGCAAGGCCTATCTCAACATCAGGAACAACTCTCTGCAACTTTGAACAACTTTCTCAGCAATGAGGTGAGATTCTCACTAGGTGGTGATAAGTTGCCTGTTAAGGAGGAATAATCTTTGTTAACTGTATATCTTGCCTCATTAATATGCTGTTACCCATCCTACTATCTGCCAGGAGCAAACAAAATGCTGAGAATTAGGAACACGGAGAATGAGTACCTGGCGACTTCAACTCACTGCTTCCTCCATTCGGACCTTCACATTGGACACCAGGCTCAAATATCTCCTGGCATACTCTATAGGCACCAGGCCACATGCTCCCCATGTCCACAAATACTGGCATCTGACATGTGCCAGCCTCTAAAATCCTTCATGGCACATCTCCAATCTCCTTACGTTGTGCTTCTGCCTTTCATCGCTGCACATTGGCACTGAGCAACAAATGTGCACAGCATTCCTTGTCCTTCAGCCAGAGATCCCAGGCTCACAGTAACGCAGTATTGCCACGCATTTTCATACAGACTCAAATCTGGGAAGTTTTGTCATGGTGTGATCAGTTCTCAGTCAGGTCCAAGGAGGCAGCCTTCACTCAGGGGGTCCCAGCGCAGTAAGGCAAGGGCAGCCTCCTATACCTGGCCAGAGGCTTGGACATGGCCAATTAGCTGCTTGGGGCAGTCAGAGTCAGGATGATCAGAGTGGGATATTGGACATCCCATCACCCGTCCTGACTCTCTCTGCCCTCTTGTGAGCTGTTGTTGTCTGTAATGAGAGACCATCAGGAATTAAGGGAGATGGTAGTGAGTGGCACAGCTGCTACTTTTGGTGCAGGTACGAAGGGTTCCCTGAGCGAGTGAGTTGGTCGCACCTGAGGGTTTGCAGGACCATTGGTGTCAGGGGATGGGATAGGTGACAGTGATTGAGGGAAGATGTTACGTGACTGAGAGTGAGAGTATGAGCCTTGGTGGGAGATGGGTACAGGGTGGAGAATGAGTGTGAGGTATTGGAGAGAAGACGGTGGCACTTACCCTGGCAGGATGGAGAAGACCATTGCCTCTTTCTGACATTGCTGGGCATTCCTGCAGATGGCAGGAAGTCACTGACCTTATTGGCTACATTGGAGCAGGCTGGCAAGTTCTGGTTTCATATTCCACTGCAAGTGCTGGGGTTGTTGACATCCCAACACCGCACCATCCCACCACCAGGAACTCCAGGTCCCAGTCTGTAAAGGGGTGGAGCCAAATTTCCCTTTTCTGCGTGTCCCACGGCAAGAGATCTCACTCAGCTTCAATGAGAGAAACCCTCTGTGAAACTCAATGGAACTGACCCTTAGCCAACAAACATAAGATTCAGCCTTATAGGGGAGATTGCAGATTGAAAACGAATGTGGAAATTGGAAGGATATTTATTCCCTAGAATGAGGACTCTGTGCTGGAGTACATTACTAATTATTGCATTTAATTTGTACCAATACCAAGAATTCTGTCGAATGTCACCTTCAGGGTATACACAGTTTTAAGGATGTTGCTGTTGACAGTATCAAAAGCAAATCAAAATCCTGTCCAATAATAGTGGAAAGGCACGTTGCTAGATTTTCAATCAGTCACTCAGAATAATGTGAGGGTCACTGAAGGAGTTTGAAGGTGAGTTGGAAAAGATGGGGAACATGGGAGACAGACAGTAATAGAAGCCAACTCTACTTTAGCAGTGCTGCAACCATGTGCACTGCAGGAAGGCAGCTCATCTACACAGGATCTGTGTCGGGGACTCCATAAGAGAGTCTGTGCTATTGGATCAAACGGAGGGAAAAGTTCAAGAACTAGTAGGCATCCAAGAGTTTGATTCAGGGGCAATTTGGGGAATGAGGAAGTTGCTGACTCTGTGTTGGGGCTCAGGAGAAGCCCATGAGCATGAATACTTTAATTCAGTTGTGAGCGTTAGGATTGAAAAGCTCACAAGCAATGTTTGCTGGATGCAATTGAGCAAAATTGGTTCTTGGGGTGGGTTGTGATGATTCCCAAAGTAAGATTAGCTTGGTGATCTTAGGTATCGCTGAGAGCTGGAGTTATGCTGAAACTCAGTACTGGAATGCAGATTTGGAGTCTCAGGGAACTTACACCACAGAAAGGAGGGATATATCGACCAGAATGGGTGCATTCAACGACTGTGACTAAGGAGGAAAATAAGGTCACACCCCCTCCCCATTCATGCAATGCACAATGATGTATGAGAGTTTAAAACTGAGCCCTAAGATGTGCTATACCATTGCAATGGATTGCTGCACTGGAATTTGTTCATCATTCTGTGAAACGAAGTACAGCCACTCATATTTCCTTTATCTACGCTTCAGTGTTTTGCCATTGTAAAATTTGACTTCAATGAGAATATAGAAGGCATGGTTAGCAGCTTTGCAGACCACACCAAAATAGTAGACAGTGAAGAAGGTTTTCTAAGATCACAAAGGAACCTCGATCTAATGGATCAATAATCTGAAAAACGGCAGATGGAGTTCAATCCAGATAAATGCAAAATATTGCATTTTAGTACAACAAACAGGGGCAGGTTTTATACAATTCATGGTCAGGCCTTGGGTAGTATTGTTGAAAAGAGGGACCAAGGGTTCAGGTGCATAATTCTTTGAAGTTTGCATTGCATATGTACAGGGTGGTTAAAAAGGCATTTAGCATGTTTGCCTTCATTGCTCAGTCCTTTGAGTATAGGAGTTGGGAAGTCATGTTGAGTTTGTATAGGACATTGGTGAGGCCTCTTCCAGGGTGCTGTGTCCTGTTCTGGTTGCCCTGTTGTAGGAAGGATATGATTAAGCCACAGAGAGTCACTCGAGATTTACCAGGACGTTGCCAGGTATGGAAGGTTTGAGTCGTAAGGAAAGACTGGGTAGGCTGGGACTGTATCCACTGGAATGTAGGAGGTTGAGAGGTGACCTTATAGAAGGTTATAAAATCATGGGGGTATGGATAGTGTTAATGGTAGGTGCCTTTTTCTTAGTATGGGGGATTTCAAGACTATGGGGGCACACTTTTAAGATGACAGGAGAGAGGTTTTAAAAAGACATGACTGGAAAATTTTTATAGAGAGGGTGGTTTGCGTATGGAAAGAAATTGCTGAGGATGAGGGCACACTTACAGCATTTAAAAGACATTAGGATAAGTACATGGATAGGAAAGATTTGGAGGGATATGGGCCAGGAGCAGGCAGGTGGGATTAGTTTAGTTTGGGATTATGATCGGCCTGGACTGGTTGGACCAAATGGCCGGTTTTGGTGCTGTATGACTCCATGACTCTGGTTACTATTTCACATCATTATTATATACAACATCTTTTTGACATTTCCAAAAACAATGCTAACAATAAAATATCATGACTATCCTAACCATGAAATACTCGAAATAAACCGTCTGACTTCATTTATCTGCTAAAGCTCCAAGTGGATGTACAATGTTTGAATGCAAACAAACATAGAACAGGACAGGATAGCACAGGAACAGGCCCTTTAGCCTACCATTTCTGTGATGACCATGACACCATTCTAAACTAATCCAATCTGCCTGCACATGCTACATCTCCCTTTATTCCCTGCCTGTTCATGTGTCTCTCTAAATACCCCTTCAACATATCTGCATCAACCATTTTCCCCAGCAGTGCATACTAGCTGCCCACCGCCTTCTGTGTAAAAAAACCTGCATCACACATATCCTTTAAACTTCCACTACCCACTCCCCTACATTAAACATATGCCACCCAGTATCTGGCATTTTCTCCCTGAGAAAAAGATATCCAACCTGCCCATGCTTGCCATTAATTTATAAACTTCTGTCAAGGTCACCTCTCAGCCTCCAACGTTCCAGTGAAAACAATCCAAGTTTTTCTCTCTTTATAGCTAATACACTCCAATGCAGTAACATCCTGGTAAGCTTCTTTTGCACACTTTCCAGAGCCTCCCCAACCATCCTATGGTGTGGTAACCAGAACCAAACACAATTAATCAAATATGGTCAAACTAATGTTTTATTCAGCTGCGCCGTGACTTGACAACTTTTCTCCTCAATGCCCCCACTGATGAGGGTACCCATACTGTACACCATCTTTACCGCCTTCTCCACTTGTCACAGTCTCATAAAGAACGGAAACATACCGTTCGGTCCAACTTGTCAGCACGCACCAGACATCCCAATCTGATCTAGTCCCATTTGTCAGCATTTGGCCCATATTCTTGTAAAACCTTTTCAATGTTGTAAATGTACTTTTCTCCACCACTTCCTCTGGCAGCTTGTTCCATACACAAATTTTCTTTGCATGAAAAAGTTACCCTTCAGGTCCTTTTTAAATATTTCCCCTCTCACCCTAAACTTTTGCCCTCTCATTCTGGACTCCCCCACCCTGGGGAAAAGACCTTGGCTATTCATCCAATCCATGCCCAATCCATGTTCCAGGGATAAACGCCCCAGCCTATTCAGCCTCTTCCTATAATGCCAACTCACCAGACCTAACAACATCCTTGTAAATTCTTTCTGCACCCACTCAAGTTTACCAACACACTTCCTACAGAAGGGTGACCAGAAACTTTATGCCACGTGCAGTGATTCCTGGATTGCACCCCAAAGTCCTTCTGTATGTCAACATGTATAATGGGCCTGCCATGTACTGTATATTTACCTCTTGCATTTGGCCTCCCAAAATGCATCACCTCACACTTGTCCAGATTACATACCTTATGCCATTTCTCTGCCCAATTTTCCAACTGATCATGATTATGCTGTATTCTTTGACAACCTTCCTCACTATCCACAACGCCAACAAATTTTGTATATTCTGCACGTTTCCCAATCAGATCACATACATTTTTATCTAAATAATACATATTATTTATCTATATTACAAACAGAGGTACCAGCAATGATCCTTGCAAAACACCCCTCCACAAGTACACCTTATCTTCTATGGCCAGGCCAATTCTATATCTAATTTACCAACTTGTTGTGAATTCCGAGTGATTTAATCCTCTGGACCAACCTCCCATGAAGGGATTTTGTCAAATGCTTTAGTAAACTCCAAGTAGACAACATCCACTGCCCTACCCTCATTAATAATCTTGGCCAATTGCTCAATAAACACTGTCAAAATTGAGAGACAAGATCTCTCCTGCACAAACCCATGCTGATTATTTCTAATAAGTCCAGTCTTTTCCAAATATGAGTACAAACCAAAGATGTCTAATGTATTATGTGCAGAATATATGTGAAAACTATTGCCCAACAGGAAGGTAGAAAATTAATTGATCACACAGACATGTGTGAGCAAGTGAAAGAGACCTGAGGAAGCCACTCAACATAAATTCCCAGTCAATAAGCCAAACCAAATATTAGGTACGTGTTGAGGGCCTTTGAAAAGACCTGAATGCATCGCTGATTGGCTGTTGATTTTTAATTGTATCTGTCCTTTTAATGGGCTTACAACAGATCTTCAAAATAGACCTTGTTTTCTATGACCTGAAGATCAGAATCCCAATCCTGTCCCCATAAAATTCCCACACTGTTCATTTTACAGGAAGTTTCCCCGGATGACGATCAAGATCAGGGACTTGTGCTGATTTCACTCTCTTCTCATTCAGAGAAACTCAGATCAATTAAAACAGGCAATGACCATCTTCAACAAAAATGAATCTAAGTATCTCCCCTTGATATTCAATGACATTACCATGACTGAATCATCTTCGATTAACATTCTCACAATGCCATTTGTCAGAAACTGAATTAGACTAGCATATAAATAAATACCTGTTGCTACAAGAGCAGAGGTCTGGAATGCTGCAGTGATTATCTCACCTCCCAACTCCTCAAAGCCAGTCCTCCATGTGCAAAGTAGAAGTCAGGAGTGTAAGGGTGTACTCCAGTTTCCTTGATGAGTACAGCACCAAGAAAGCTCACGTAGTTTGAAGGCATCAAGGAGAAAGCAGCCCACTTGATTGGCCACCCAGTGGGCACCTTGAACATTCACTCCCTCCATCACTAATGAAGTGTATACTCAAAACATTATCGTGCTCTCTCTCCATGGATGCTGTGATGTCCAGCATTTGTTGTTTTCATCACACATCATCTCGTCTTGTATCTATAATCTCTTTTTCTCCACTGTTACTCGATCACATCCTGGAAGTTTCCTTACTACAGCACTGCAAGGTGTACCTGCACTGCAAGGACTGCAGAAATTGAAGAAGGCAGCTCTTACTACATTCTCAGGGGCAACAGAGCTGGGCCACAAATGTTGATCCTGCTGGAAATGCCCACATATGAACTTAGATCATAGGGACAGGAGTAGGCCATTAAGCCCCTTGAGCATTTTCTGCCATTCAATATCATCATTGCTAACCTGTGGACAACTCCATATACCTTCCTTTTGCCCCTTACTCTTAAAACTTTCACTTAACAAAAAATTATCTTTCTCAAATTTAAAATTAACAACTGATCTAGCATTCACTGTTGTTTGTAGAACAGAGTTCTAAATATCACACACCGTTTGTGTGTAGAAGTGCTTCCCAACCTCTCACCTGAATAGTCTGGCCATAATTTTTAGAGTGTGTCCCCAATCCAACAAGCGAATAAATGAAGTCTCATTGTTGTCCAAAGATGAATAAGGGACCCTCCATGTCTGGCAGATTCATGTCACAGCTCATTAGTCTCATCATTTAATTGCACAAATGATGGAGTTCATGTTAGCCAGAGAATGTACGCATGGCTTCAGAAATGTACAAGAAGCTTCTTTCATTCTGTGTTCAGTCATTTCAGAAACACTGAGCAACAAACCCAATAACTCACAATGGAGATTCGAAGCACTCACCTCAGCCTCAATCCAAGTCTTTTTCTCGGCAACAAATTTGTAGCAATAACCACAATAAGTGATGCCACCAAAACAATCCCCTTTGCCTGTGAGACCACGTTTCTCAAGGTCCTGATCCATACGTGTCAAATTCTGCACGGTCAGATGATCAGCTGCAGATTAAAACAAACCGCAATAATCTCATCAT